TGTGTGGATTAACCAGCAGATTTGCCCCCGTGTGATAACGTCCTATCACTAGGTTTTTGGGTTGAGAGAGTGTGACTTGCCCAAGGTTACCCAGTGGGTTTCCATGGCCAAGCAGGGAATTGAACCTTGATCTCCAGAGTTGTAATCCAACATTTCAAACCACTACATCATGCTGGCCGTCACCCAGTAAGTACATACAGAAAATTTGTGATCATAAAACAGAAAGATGATGATATTACAATGTTATTTATTTATTCATGCATGTTCATATTTTAGCTCATGCTATATCATCAAGCTGGCTTAAAAAGTAAAATCAATTTAAACAGTTTCAATACAATTCAGAATTTAAAACAATTAAAATAATCCAAACAAACCAAAGGAACTTTTGAAAAAGTTGAAAAAGCTTTAATATTTAAAACCATATACATATACCTTTTGTGGAAGAAATAAATTAGGACCCAAAGGTTTTAATAAAAAGCCATGTTTTAATTTGGTGCCAGAATGACACTAATCAGACTTCTATTGCATACTGTTCATCTTTTAAGCATGCAGTCCATGCTATTCTCAATCCAGCATCAGCACTACCACATCCCATGTATGCTACTGTTCAGATCTCTGGAAAAGGTTGCAAGTTCTGCATTCAAAATTTAGAATTAAAAGCTAACATCCAGTTCTTTTTCACCTTTCTGTTCTTTTCCCTTTATTGCTATCACCACTGTATTCTCTCTATTAGAATACCCTTACTTGGGAGTAAGAGCAATAGCAATAGCATTTACATTTCTATACCACTTAATAGTGAACTAAGCACTCTCTAAGCAGCTAACAATCTGTAAGCCAATTGCCCCCAACAAGCTGGGTACTCATTTTACTTACGAAAGGATGGAAAGGTCACCCTGTTCAGGATCCCTGGCTGAAGAAGCATCAAAAGTGCAACAGGCAATGGGACAGAGAAATCAAAAAGTAGACAAGAAGCAAGGATTGTTACACAGCAGCTCATCCCCACTGCACTTCTCAGTCAAAGAAACTCTGAGCTTAGGGCAAGATGAAATCTCATTGGTCTTTTATGGAACCTGACAGACTGCATAGGCATCTAGACCTCTCAGATAACAGTTTCTCCTTATTGTCAGCTGTACAGACAGTGAGTGTCTAGAAGTAGCGTATAACAAGCACAGTACAGCGTATTTCTCCTTTGTGGCAAACTGTAACAGTGGAGATTAGACTGAGGCTGGGATGGAGAACCTATGACTGCACAAATATTGCTGGATGACAATTCCCATCACCCATCTCTTGGATATGCAGACTGGGAGTGACAGGAGTTGTTGGCCCACATCAGAAGGGTTATTGGTTTGCCAACCAAGACTAGAGGATAGGAGTCCAACTACCAGTGTCTCTGACAGGACCTAACTGGTTGCCTGTTCCCAGGCTGCCCTGGTTGAGAATTTAGTGAATGGGCAGCATTTGGAAATTTTTCTTTTTTGGACTATATCTCCTGGCAGCTATAGTGGCTCAGAGATCCTGGAACCTGCATTCAAAAATTCATCTTTCCAAAAGCTGATCTGGATCACTCCAGAGGCTGCGCCTACTCTAGCCTCTGTAATGGTTACCTTTATATGTCTCCAAGACTGGGTTTTCTGGCTGTTCTTTAAATTGCTCCCCAAACCCTAGGCATGTAAGATAGGACTTTATCACATGAGGGTAGTAAAGTGGAATTTCAACAGGATAAAAGCATCTTTGGATGATACTTATCACATGACAGTGTGTCTCTCCTGTTGCTGCTTTGTATTTAAAATGTTGGTGGAGTGCACCTTTTCACTGAAGAGGAAGACCCGTCAATGGTTCCCAATATCACTTCTATTCCATTAGTCCCCCTGTCGCAAGAAGTCTCTTCCACTGCAGTAATGATATGATAACAGTCACATGGCATGAGGGGGCATGATTCTCCTCCTCTCTTCCCTTCGTCTTGCTATTCCCAAGCAGGCTGAGGTTGTTTTTACTCTGTGCCTTTCAAGTTTTTTATTTTTATTTCTGCTGTGCTTGAGTAATTACGGGTAAACAATAAAATTATTTTTTATTTTATTGTTTAACCATAATTATGCAATCACAGCAAAAATAAAAATTAGAAAGCCCCAAAGGCACAGAGTAAAACAACCTCAGCCTGCTTGGGAATAGTGAAGGGCATTTACCTGTAGTCATGAAACCACGACAAAAATAAAAATTAAAAAACTGAAAGGCATACATGCACTGAGTAGGGCATTCATAAGTAGGAAGCCAGGGTTGTGGAGCCGGTGCAGAGAAGGGACCATGGATTGCCAAAATAGCATACTCACAGTACACTCGGCGACTGCAGAGAAGTGTGATACTGAATGTTTCCAAACTGGTATGTTCCCCTTTGCTTCACTAATGTAACTGTTGCATAAAACAAAACAAAACAAAAAAACCAAAACCCCAGGCTCGTGTGATAAAGTCTTTTTTTGGTGGGATGGGGAGAGTGCTGCGTGTTTCTAGCAAAGATGGAAGCAAAGAAAAGTTTGGCATCAGGTTTGGACTGTGTTTCTCATGGAGGTCAAACCAAGTCTGAGCACAAGTTATTCTCTGGAAGCAAAGCAATATTGGTTCCTTTAACAAAGGCTTGATTTGATGGGATGAGCAGGGATTCTTTTAGCAAGAGATCTCTTTTAGTAGTTTTGCATTTGTGGATTTGTACAGATATTCCCAAACCAACATAGCTATAAACTTCCCCTACCTTTGAGTTCCTGACATACAGGCCTGGCTCTGAATCCAGCACAGATTTTCACACAAGCCTCACCCATGCCAAATACACCCCTACGTTTCCAGGTGGCTGGAATGTTCTTGTGCCTTCAAAAAGTCCTCTAAAAAACTTGAAACACTGCAGCTGCATGGAGGGGGGATTTATAATTGCCACAATGCCTAACCAACACTCTACACAGCCAACTTGTTAAACAGAAAAAAGTGGTGGGTCAAGGATTGCAACAGATGGCCGGAAAAGGGTGAGTTGTACACCCAGGGTAGGCTCAACATACAAGCTTTGTAGATTTGTGCATCACCTTAAAAGACATCTTTCTAAAGCAATTTTTCAAAGTCATGTTACCAGCCTGGGCATTTGAAGAAGTGAAATGTTTTGAGACTACTCAGACAGAAATGGTGTTGTCTTAGAGATGTGCCAATTTATTGGGAGTTGTTTCTAAAAGGGATTACTCTATGGCTCATACAAGTGAGACAAGGAGGTCTGTTGATAGTGATGGGAAAATGTGTCTGTTTTGCTTTCTCCTGCCTTTGAAGTTCTTAAACCTCAAATTCTTTCCATTGGGAAATATGAAGAAATTTGCAAATATTGGTAAATTAGTCAAAAATTAACTGACACCAAATCCTCACCTGTTTGCACCAG